GGGGATTGGAAGAACATGCTGCTCTAGTTGTTTACAGGTGAGGAAAATTTATACGACGAAGCATAATATATTAACGGTATTCTCCAGTTGTTGATTTAGCAGACGGATCTCCACTTGCCTTGTCAAATCTAATATGCTTCTTGTTGCAAATACTGGTTACTCTATTTGCAATGCTGTTGTGTTTTGAATCATAATTTTTGAAGTTCAACATAGTTTTATATTTACATTTGTTGCGTACCAAATACAATATAGGCATGTCCTTATTTGAAATATCGATCAAAGCATCGGATTATGGAATTGTGATGCATGGAGATGTGAATCGAATTAGCCTAGGAATGTCAAATTAAACTAGTTAAGTGCACGCACATACATGTTCGTGAGCTGTGACCTGACCTACGGTTAATACGACAGTCACAGTCAAGTTAAAATTTTTATTTTTCTCATATGAGACACTTCATATTAAGCTAGAGTTGAAGGTGGTAGTGTATTCATCTCAATTTTTGGTTTTCCCCACTTTTCTACAAAGTACAACCACTTGTTTTTGTTAAATGAGAACATGTTTTACAGTGTTTGCTTTTCATTTTTAACTCTGATGAATCTAGAAAGGGAATGCCACTTTAGCACACTTGCCCTATTTCCGAACACGTTAGACGGCCATTGTTTTGGCTCTTCTGCACATACCATACATACATGAAGTGACCTGAAGAGAGGCCACTTTACAGAGAACCTAGTAAAATGCTCAGATGAGAGAGAGAGAGAGAGAGAGAGAGAGAGAGAGAGAGAGAGAGAGAGAAGTTTGAAAGAAAATTAGAAACCCAGGGGACATCAATAGTCAAAGCAAAGAAATTCAGTCTATGTTCATTAGAAGGACATGGAAGGTCAAAGTCTAATGAAAATCAGTGAAAGTGACCTTTGGATTATTTTTCTGCTTATAAAAATGAACAACATAATCTTGATATTGCTAAAAAGTCATCAATCCTTTTTACCTGACCCTTTTTCAATTGTACACTAACCTGCCTTCAGAATGTCTAATCCCAAAGATTTCAAGTTCAGCTTGAAGGCCATTATAAACAAGCAAAAGACTAAGGTTCTTTATGTGGAGGCCAATAGAGATTTTGCAGATGTTTTGTTGAGCTTCCTGACTTTGCCATTGGGAACCATCATCCGAGTCTTGAACGAACAGTATGGTGGTGAGGCCCCCGTTGTAGGAAGTCTATCCACTTTGTACAATGGCTTACGCAATTTGGACAATGGCCTTTTCTCGTCAGAGGACTGTAAGAACCTGCTTCTCAACCCTATAAGGTCCTCCGAGGTTGAATGTCGTCGGCTGAAAATCAACGTTGACGACACGCCACCCACAAGGTACTTCAAATGTGGAGGCATAAAATGTAGATTTAATGAATTTCCGAATGTAAGCATGTACTTCAGAGGATTGAAATGCGATTGCGGGCTACCGTTGGACAAAAAAATTTATGTCAGTGACGTGGTTGATAGTGGTGGCGGTGTGTTTATTGCAAGTAAAGCATCATTAATCATCACTGATGATCTTCAAGTATTGCCTAACAAGACTGGTTTTGCCGTGCAAGTTCTCCTCAACTTAGGCATTAGGATACAGTCTGGATCGAGGAAAGGAGTCTGACTTTCGGATTCAATGAGGTGAGTTACTAATTTCCATCTGTTTAGATAATAGCACCAAATTTATGTGTCTTCTACTGTTTAATTAAGCATTCTTTATTTTTTGTAGATAATGGATTTGCTGAAGGGGTCATTAGTTTCCGGGGCACCATTCACGGAACTTATTCTCGATAAAAAACCGAATGTTGTCATAAAGTGTGCAATAGTTGTCCCACCGGTTGATCTGATCAAGAAACAGTTGGGAACTTTTGGTGGTAAAATGACTGTGAAAGCATTTGTATCAGCTAATACGCTGCTGTTTGCTGAAGTTGATGATGATTTTGTGGATTTCATATTTAGCCTGCTGGCTCTCCCCTTAGGTGGGGTCCAGTGCTTATTGGGCTGTGACACTTGTCTTACAAATATAGACAAATTGTACAAAAGCGTGTCGAATATGGGAATGAACAAGTATTTGAAGAACGTAGACAAAACGAAAGCCCGGCTACTGCAGCCTAAGTTACCATTATGTTACTACTCAAGAACACGCTTTCTCTCACCGAATTTCCATCATTTGTATTTTAGTCAAGATAGTTTGCACTCTGTGAACCCATCTGGTTGTGGTTCTCACGTGAAATGTTATAAATTTCCAGATGGCGAAGTGGAGTACGGTAGGGTAACCGGTCTATGGTTGCTTAAGTATTGGCAGGCGAAATATGTAAAAGGACAAATTATGTATATGGTGACAGATGATTTAACTGTGACGCCATTGTCTTCAGCCACTGGACTTTTTGTTCTCAATACCCTCAATATCCCATTATCTAATGTCGAAGAACTCGAGCTGGTTGTTGGCCTAGAAGAGGTTAGTGCTCATGTTTGGGAAAGTAATTAACATTTGACTATGAATATGTTTTTTTGGCATTTTATCCTGATAATCAATTCGTTTTGATTTTTGTTGCAGGCTCTGAGCATACTGAAAGCATCTCTGACTTCGTCTCGTGCCTTAACCGATGGCCTCATCACTCCTTTTTTAATGAAACAACCGAAGCAAGAGGGATGAGGATTTATACAACATCGTGCAATAGTTTTCATGACTAAGTCTTACTTTTCGTATTTGCATATTGCGGTTTCATGTCACGATTTTCAAGAAACTTTGTCATGAACTTATTGAGTATATGAAATTACCTATTTTAATGTTATCTACTCCCAAGACTGAATTGGGCTTAGACAGTTATCGATAATGCTTTGTCGCTTTGAACCTTAAACAACGACACATAGTATAAAATAGTAACTTCTGAAACTGATTAAATATAGAATGCAGATTGTAAAAGGTTTCTTTACTGCAGTTATTTTCAAATGTCAGATTTGATGGCAGCTTCTTTTCTCGGAGCTCTAATATTAAAAAGTATTATGTGTGCATTTACTTGGTCGGTTGAGCTTTAATCATATTAAGCACAAAACTGAATCAAAAGTGATGTGTAGAAATCAATATGTTAGTTATAATAATGATGAGCATTGTACTCTTTGAGAATGACTTCATATGACCTGAAGATGATGTCACAAAGGAGATCAGTTATGTGGACAAATGAAGTTATGTTAGGATTACTGTTTTGTATCCTTTATTTGATTAGCCTAATTTCTGTTTTATATCCTTTATTTGATTTGCCTAAGTTACCATTATGTTACTATGACTGACCTGTGTATTGACAGCTATCGATAATGCTAGTGGCTTTCAACCTTAAACAACGACACATAGTATGGAATGATAAATTTTGAAACTGATTAAATATAGATTGCAGAGTACTGTTTGCTGAATACTTACTAGTGGCACTTATTTGGATACTCTGTTTTGTAATGCTTTTGTGGTCTGAGTTGTAGTCCTTATCAATACATATCATTATACTTATCTGCACGTAATGACTACTGAATTGCATGCTTAAATCTGGTTATAGAAAATGCCACTGCAGCACACTTGCCCTTTTTTCGTTCGGTTGCATGCGTAAGAGCAATACGTCAAAAGTGATATTAGGTTTAGGTTATGTGCTCCTTAGTATGTGGTCCTACCCAAGCCGAACGAGCTCCCAAGTTTTAGGGGTGGCTATATCACTTACCAAAACAGAAACTAAGCTCTCCTCGCAGCCCATGTAAAGTAAGAAGTTTGGAACGATTAGTTACCGTGGTTGTATAACCATTCTGTCTAAAGGATGCTGCTCCTCAATAAGATTACCTCTCCTTAAAATCAATACTTATTCTACAACTGATTGCAAAGAGTCCCTATATTACTCTAAAATGGAGTTCAACTCAAAAACACAAACTACAAGAAATTAATTTCATTGAAACTTGAAATAATCAGTCCAATTTCCACGGCAAATGGAAGGTCAGGGTAATACTTAAAGACTCAGGAATCTTGTGGGACTGACTCTTGGACTACCTTCTTTTATTAGCCTTACATGCATTGAAATCTTTATGCTTACATGAGCCTGAGACATAAACTCAATCATCTGTTACAACAATGTCTGCCCCTAAGGATGTCCAGTTCACTTTGAAAGTTATGATAAATAGAGATAAAACTAAGGTCCTATTTGCAGAGGCCGACAGCGATTTTTTCGACGTTTTGTTGAGCTTCCTGACACTGCCATTGGGAAAGATCGCAAAAATCATCGCGGAACACTATGGAGATGACAAACCCAGAGTCGGGAGCTTGACCTCTTTGTACAATGGTCTTGTCAATCTTGATGTTGTCCATTTTCATACAGAGTCAGGTAAACAAATGCTGCTAAACCCGAGAAGCGTGTTTGATAATGAATGCCATAAGCTGAAGCTGAATATAAGTGATTCCGAACCCACCAAGTACTTTACATGCGGACAGTCGTCCGATGGGAAGCACAATTTCAGCATGTACTATGATACTGTTAGATGTGATTGTGGGAAAACTATGAGCAGAGAAACAAAATTAAGATCATCTGAGGCTGCTGAAGATGGCGATGATGAAGCTTTTTGCACGAAAGGTGCTTCCTTTATAATCAGTGATGATATGCGTGTGGCACTGACAGGGTCGTTCTTGAGGGCTCTAGCTGAACTTGGTATTAGGGACATCAAAGGGGCCGAGATGAGGAACGTGACGTTTGCGTATAATGAGGTGAGTCCTGATGCTATTGTAGTAAGCTAACTTAAATTTTGTGTGTTTTTTATAGCCAATTCTTTTTGAAAGCCTAAAATCATAATATAATTCAAAGCTTTTCGATTGATCTTAACATGAATCTCATCCTTGTATATTAAGCTGCTTGTCCATTTTTTCTGCTAAATATGAATATATATTTCAGAAATTATTTACCGGTGAATTCATTTCTTAACCGTTTCGTTACTATTGTCTTTGTTCTTTGAATTAGATTATAGATTTGCTGAAAGGCATGCTTGTTTCACGGACTCCCTTGACCGATATCATAATCGGCAAAGGTCAAAGCAACTCTGACCTTTTGAAGTTCAAACCTGGAGTTTTCTTACCGAAGACTGAGAAACCAGCTGCTTCCAACTCTGAGAAGATGATGATAATGAAAGTCATAATACAAAAATCAACGCATGAGTTACTGTTTGCACTAGCAGAGGATGATTTTGTCGATTTTCTCTTCAGTTTTCTCACGATCCCACTCGGCGGAGCTTTGTCACTTGTTGGAAGCAGCAGTTGTCCTACAAGTTTATACAACTTGTACACTAGTGTACAAAATATTAATGGTGATAAGTACTTGACTAAAGATACAAAGACCAAATTACGGAAAACCGAAATACCCGTAGGCTTTATATCCCTTAACCAGCTTTTCCCTCTAACCGAAGGAGGATTTTCTGAACTTTATTTTGTTGGAGCCTCTGCACTTCCTGGGCTTATTGATTACTTGTCTCCTTCAACTGTGACATATAGAACGCCTTTTTTGGGACATGTGAGATTTAGAGAGTCCAATTTGCTTCATCTCAAGTCTCCAAAAGGCAATGGGAATTATGTAAAGGGGCCAACAATGTATATGGTGACCAATGATTTAACCGTCACTCCATTTTGTGTCGCCTCAAGCCTTTCTATTTTCGACCGGCTGGGAATACCGTTGTCTGATGTCGATGAATTGGAGCTTAACATTGGATTGGAAGAGGTAACTATTTCGATCATTTGATTTGTTTTCATGATGAGTTTTTTTTTTTTTTATTTATTAATATAAAAAATACTGAATGTTGTTCTTATCTATACTATAGGCTCTAAGCATTTTGAAGGCATCTCTCGCCTCGACTTCGGCACTGACCAATGGCCTTTTTGAACCATCATTAAGAAAGTGTGTGAAGCAAGAACAGTGAGGCCAATGTCTGGAGGTTCCTGCATTAGTGTTTGTTGTTCCTAATCTGTGCTAGACTTTTAGTTATCTATGCGTTATCCTCATAATTAAGTGAAAATGTGTCAGGTTTGGTTTGGTTTGTATTTTCAGCCAATAATGAAGACAAAAAGAAATTAAATTACAACAAGTTAATTTGCACATGCAAAAAGAACCTTGCTTTGTGCATCCAATCCAATGTGTTATTTAGCATACACAGAAAATATTACCTAAACTATCAGATGTTCACAAGAGTTTCAAATTTGAAATACATCGAAACAAGAAAACTTGTTGCTTCTGTTATATGGATATGAAGTTCCCCTTGGAATTAAGTCATGCTAAACAAACAGAAAAACATGGTAATGTTTTCCGGCCAACATCGAATTTGCAGAGGTATTATTCAAGTTCCTCATTTTCCCAGTAAGAGAAAAAAAGGAAAGAAAAAGTTTCCTCATGTTTCCAGTTGGGAACAATTTATACGGTGAAGCATAATATATTAATGTTAACTTCTCCAGTTGTTGATTTAGTAGATGGGTCTTCACTTGCCTTGTCAAATCTCATGTGCTTCTTGTTGCAATTATCGGTTACTCTGTTTGCAATGCTTTTATGTTCTCAATCATAATCCTTCAAGTTGAACATATTGTTATATTTACAATTGTTGCGTACCAAATACAATTATGGAATATGATGCATGGAGATGTGAATTGAATTAGCCCAAGGATGTCAAATTAAATTTTAATTAAGTGCACTCACATACATGTTCATGAGCTGTGACCTGATCTACGGTTAATACGACTGCCACAGTCAAGTTTAAATTCTATTTTGCTCATTTCAGACACTTCATATTAAGCTAGAGTTGAAGATGGTATTGTATTCATCTCAATTTTTTTCCCACTTTTGCACAAAGTAAAACCACTTGTTTCTTAAATGAGAACATGTTTTACAGTGTTTGCTTTTCATGTTTAACTCTGATGAATCTAGAGAAAGGGAATGACACTTTAGCACACTTGCCCTTTTCGGACACGTTAGACAACCACTTTTTACGGCTCTTCTGCACATACTGTCCATAGATTAAGTGAACTTAAGAGAGGCCACTTTACAGAGAACCCATTAAAAGAAGAAAATAGGATGTTCAGATGAGAGAGAGAGAGAGAGAGAGA